CAGTTTAAAATCTACTAGTCCATATTGATATAAATAAATGGTTGACTAAATAAATAAATGGAGAATAAAAAGCAAATCTCCCTGCAGAAGAATTACAAAGAATTTAATGTAGATACTTGTCCCTCATGGAGGTAGAGATTAATTTTCCTGTCTTTATGCATGGCCTGCACATAGTGAGTCTCTTCCAAAACATATAGTATGGGAGAAAGAAAGAGAGTGAAGAGGAACTTTACTGTGGAAAAAACTTGCAAACACTTCTTGGCCTGGTAATCAAGGTTGACACCAATAGCAATATCATCTTAAATACATGTGCTTTTGATATGATGTGATGACAGTGGCACTTTACTCTTCTGGTCTTGTTCCAGAATATCCATCATCTGTCAGATCATGAGAAAAACATCAGACAAATCCCAATTGAGGGAATTCCACAAAATAACTTACCAGTACTTCTCAAAACTGTCAAGGTCATCAAAATTGAGGAAAGTCTGAGAAATTGTCACCACCAAGAGGAGCCTCAGGAGACATGACAACCAAATATAAATTGGTATCTCAGATAGGATCCTAGAACACACACAAAAGGATATTAGGTTTAAAAAGAAACTAAGTTAGGGGCGCCTGGGTGGCTTAGTCGGTTAAGCGTCAGACTTTCGCTTGGGTCATGATCTCGCGGTTCGTGGGTTCAAGCCCCGTGTCGGGCTCTGTGCTGACTGCCAGCTCAGAGCCTGGAGCCTGTTTCAGTCTGTGACTCCCTCTCTCTCTGACCCTCCCCTGCTCACGCTGTCTCTCTCTCTCTCTCCTAGAAATAAATAAAACATTCAAAAAAAATTCTTAAAAAAAAAAAGAAACTAAGTTAGAGGGTGCCTTAGTGGCTCAGTTGGTGAAGCCTCTGACTTTGGCTCAGGTCATGATCTCACAATCAGTGAGTTTGAGCCCCATGTCAGGCTCTGTGCTGACAGCTCAGAGCCTGGAGCCTGGTTAGGATTCTGCGTCTCCCTTTCTCTCTGCCCCTCCCCCGCCGGCATTCTGTTTCTCTTTCTCAAAAATAAATAAACATATAAACATTTAAAAAAGAGAAACTAAGTAAACATGAATAAATACTTAGAGGTTTGTAATAATGTACCAGCATTGGCTTATTATTTGTAACAAATATATCATATTAATGAAAAGTGTCAATGAAGAAAACTGGGTATAGAGGATAAGGAAACTCTGCATTCTTGTCTCAAAATTTTTCTGTAAATCTATGTTCTAAGAGACAATGTTTATTTTTTTAAAAATCCCAACCTTCAAGAATAATTGTTTTGGAGAATGCAGACTGAGTCATTTGGACAGACTTAACATAATAGCAACATAAAAGATGGCTACTACGTCCAGGAAGGCTGAGCAAATTTCCATGATGTCAAACAACTCGTATGGTTCTCCTAAAGACTCGTGACCATCTGGGTGAAGCGTAAGGATGACACCAACATCTGGATACTCATATCTACACACCTATCCTTCAGCTGTGAAAAGATAGGGTCACTAGGTCACAGAAAAAATCCTCACAAATTTTTTAATACTGAGTCTTCAGTCAAGAGACGGGGATGAACTTCACATAACCTTGAAACAACACTGCCTGGCTCATTGAGAGTGGCTGTCTGTTAATGCTGACATTTTCCTTTGAAAGTCCATTGTCTTGCTTCAGGCAATAGGCTACCAAAAAAAAAAAAAAAAAAAAAAGAAAGGGATGGAAAAGGCAGCTTGAGATTTATGATCTTATTGTGATTATGAAATTACAAAAAGGAGCCAGCCTTGTCCATGCTAGCTGCAGACAAGTGTAGCTATAACTAAAATTTACAGGATGCATAAAAAGAATCACATCGGCAGAGTGCTGTAAATCCTGACTGCCCAGTCACCCCAGCAAATTCCTAATGGATTATCATGCCCTCATGTTTAAATGGCTATTCTTAAGAAGTAAAGGTAAGTGACAGGTTAAATACATAAGCAAACAGTGAAATCATTTCATTTCCTGAATTTGGGATGGGTGGGACGGGTGGAATAACCCACACTGGGAAACAGAGTAGATGTCTGCAGGAAACTTTCATTCACATCCCTACTAGATGATGCACTTGGAACAAGTCTCTAGGGAACAAGGCTCTAGTTAGGGCTCTACTAACATCACAAAACAACATTCTCACCATCAAAGAGGCCACTCACACATAGGGAGAAAATCTGCTAACCTGTGGCAATACAATGAAATAACTCCTCTGAGAGGCAAACCTGGTACTGACTGGACCAAGTACATGTTATATTAAGTCTTTTTTTTAAAAATATTTTTATTTATTTCTAGGGGAGAGAGAGAGAGACAGCGTGAGCAGGGGAGGGTCAGAGAGAGAGGGAGACGCAGACTCTGAAACGGGCTCCAGGCTCTGAGCTGGCAGTCAGCACAGAGCCCGACGCGGGGCTCGACGCAGGGCTCGAACACACGAACCGCGAGATCATGTCCTAAGTGAAAGTCGGACGCTTAACTGACTAAGCCACCCAGGCGCCCCCATGTTATATTAAGTCTTAAGAAGTCTAGATTTTATGCTGAGGGGATGGGAACTTACTGAAGAATTATAAAACTATTATTTGTTTAATTCTAGAAACATTATGATGGTTGCAGTGAGGAAGCAAATTATGAGTCTGTTGAAGTTTTCCAAGAAAGAGACAGATCAACTGGGACAATGGTCAGAAAGATATAAAGGAGGGATCAATGCAACACTGGCATCTTTGTGTGGGAGAGGAGAATGGGAAACCATTCCTAGTTGTGTGATTCTTGCAGCAGGATGGATATTGGTGCCTTCAGTAAGACAGGAAATAATGAAGGAATCCTAGGTTGGATTCTCTGGAAATGGGCTCTGGGATGGAGTATTTCATGCAGAAGCTGTATGGGAAGTCCTCTTGGGAGGCACCTGTGGGGAGTGGGGACAGAGTACTAGGTAGAGTCCATCCCATGATATGGTTATAACTGAGGACTCAACTGATCCTACAAGAGCTCTGAAGATAGAACAAGCCCTCTGAGGTTTTCCAAATTGAGACAAGGGGACTAGGCCTCCATATTCCTATGGCTCACTGGCCACAGGGTGCACTCTCAGAAGGGTATGCCTCTGAGAAAATGAATTTCCTAGAGCCTAAGATGATTTACAGGAAGGGATACAGGCAGATATATCTCCAGCAGCATAAGGATAGCTATACTGATTCTGAAGAGGGGAAGGAGTACCACAGTATCCCCCACAAGGCTATTTTTTGGGGGGTGGAAGTAAGAGTTCAAAAAGTCATTAATTTTTGAGAATAAAATATTCTTAGACTCCAAATTCAGGAACGGACAAAACTGATTGGTTTTGTTTTATTTCTGTTTGTTTGTCTGCTTTTACTACAGTAACAAGTAACCACCTGAGGTTATGCCCCATTAATAACAATATTCAGGTTAGCCCATCAACAACAGCCTCACTGGAGCAACCACACTTCCATTTCTTAAGATGAGCTCACCTGTGACACACCCAGATACAGACTTCCAGTGGGCAACTGAACAGCTGCACAAATGAGCAGGAGCTAGAAATGGATATCTGAGTTGGAAATTAGTTGTAGTTATCAGTTCATGGCCAGTAGCTGGTGCCATGAAAGCAGAGACATTGCCTGGGAGTATATGGAAGATGAGGAAAAGAACCAGGTCTAGAAGCCTAGGAAACCTCCATGGGTTGCCATATTTATCAAACTTTAATGTGTCTATGAATCTCCTGGGGGAGTCTTTTGAAAATGTAGATTCTAGGGTGCTTGGGTGGCTCAGTCAGTTAAGTGTCCCATTCTTGATTTCGGCTCAGGTCATGACCTCAAAGCTATGAGTTTCAGCCCCACACTGTTAGTGCAGAGCCTGCTTGGGATTCTCTCTCTTTCTCTCTCCCTCTCTGCCCGTCCCTCTCTCCCTCTGTCAAAATAAATAAATAAACCTAAAAAAATGCAGATTCTGTGATTCAGTAGACGTGGTGTAGGCCTCTGAGATTCTATATCGACAGAAGACTTCCAGATATAACAGATATTACTGGTCATTGGATCCTTGTTACTATGAGTAACAGGTGTTAAATAATGGGAAGAAGAAAAGACAAAGACCAGAAGATGAAGGAAGATCCACAGAATTCACAGGACGACAATTGAAGTTCAAGAAGACAGTTAGCATTTGGCACGTCTACATGTGCTTAAACACAGGCATGGCTCGAGTGCTAATGGAAAGGCTCCAATTGCTTAGAAAGTCCTGATTAAACCACATACTTACTCCTTGTAGAGTAATATAAAAAATGAGCTCTTCTGACATGGATTCATATACAATATTAGCTAGTAGGGGTTATGTTACTAAGAAACAGAACACTGAGTGGAAGATAAAGTAGAAGGGGGAATAACCTATGATGATTTTGAGAAAAAGGATGAGGCAGAGGAATGGCACCAGGGATAGATCAGCACTGGATAGTTGGCTGCAGAAGACACAAAGAAGGAACATCAGGGAGAGGGAAAGGAACTTTTTAAGTGCAGACAAGAAAAAAGAAGATAGACAGTGCCTGTTCAACACTATTGCCAAAGGATTGTCCCAAACCCAGAAAGCACAAGAAAGAAATGTGCATTCTAAGGAATTAGTGGATTAAGGAATGAACAAACATTTCAAATACACAATAGTTTCATAGATAATTTTGTAGGAGTGGGTGCTTTAGTTGGGGTTTCCCCCAAAGAAGGCTGGGGGCAGGTAGCTTATTTGTGAGGTGATATCATAGATAGAGCAAGAGAATAAGACAGGAAAGCAGGTAAAGCCAATATAAGTGCACATAATCAAGGTCACAGTTGTTAGTCAAAGGGGCTCACTTCTGTCAGCACTTCTGAGAAGCTTTCAGAATACTTCCCAAAGTGTCCATCTGTCTATTCACCACCTTGCATTGGTGGAATATTATCCTCTGTAGACATTAACCCTCTACCCTTCTGGCCTGTTCTTGCTGCAGATTCAGAGGAATCCCTGAGCAAAAAAGGCATAAAGACCTGCATATCCCATGCTGGAGATCGGGCTCTGCCTGAAGAAATGAACTTGACCTCATGTGGAAATGCCCACCTGCAGCTATGGCTGAATTCAGAGGTGGGATGAGGGATGTGATGCCATATGCCAAAGACATCAAACGCAAGGCAATAAAATTGGTGGATCTGTAGATACTTTCCGAGGCAGTGCACTTTGCAGCTTCCAAGTCCAGGATGCTAATACAAAACAGTGGTTAGCTGGGGGTTGCTAGTAGTTGCCTAGCAGTCTAGAAGCTACAATCAGCCTGTTATCACCATGCACAGAGATGCTTTGTAAATACTTCCCTGGAAACTCTGTTTTCCCAAATTAATTGGCCAAGCTAAACCTTTGTAAGCAGTTGTACAAGAGGTAAACTTCAGCTTGGTCCCTGCCAAAATCATCACAAATCCTGAATTAGTCGGATGTGAATTAATGAGCTTTTAGCGGAGCTTGGTTTTTGTCAGACATATTGATCCTGGAGTGAAACAGCCCATTAAAGGCTATAATTAAGACGCAGTTTCTGTTTGAAGATGAAGTGCCTGGGCAGGGACAAATTGCAAGATGCTTGTTCCTGTGAGGCTGACAGGTGATCAGGGGATGAACATGTAGTTGGAGTTTCTCTTGTTTTCCTCCTGATAGGAAACCACAGCCAAGTTTCAAATGAAACAAATCAAGTTTACACAATTAGTTAGACCCTAAAAGCTAGAGGAGCTCCAGAGCCACAAATTACTGTTAGAAATAGTTTTCCTACTAAGCACGAGGAACCTCTTTTGTATTAAATAAACCCTCTTCTTTGCTTGCCGGCTTGCCTGCTATAATAACAGGGGTATTTTTTCCCCTAATTAGACTTCCTCTCACGAGAGAATTGCATTTGTTGGAAAGACTCATTCTAATATATGTTTGGAGTGTTAGCAAAAACCCAACAAGAAGGAGCACTAATAGAGACCAGGTGTAGACTCTAGTGCGTAAGGGACACAGCGAGAAGAGCTGCTGCCTGTGCCAGACGGGATGTTAAGATCCAGGGGTGGACAGTGGGGTGGCAGTGGTACCTGGATGGCCCAGTCAGTTAAGAGTTGGACTTTGGCTCAAGTCCTGATCTCACGGTTCCTGAGTTCGAGCTCCGTGCTCATAGTTCGTGAGTTTGAGCCCCAAGTTGGGCTCTGTACTGTGCTCTCTGCTGTCAACACAGAGCTGGCTTCTGATCCTCTCCCACTCTCTGCCCCTCCCCCGCTCATGCATGCATGCATTCTCTCTCTCCCTTTCAAAAATAAACATTAAAAAAAATGATCTCCTGGAGAGCAGAGGTCTAGAACAAAAGCTGATGGGTGTGTAGAAAATGTGAACCCTTCTGCATTTTCCTTTTGGAAGATTCAGGAAACTTTCTGTTTCTCTCTAATATATTTCACATGGCTGGATTTTTTTTCTTTTTTGAGGAAAGTGAGGAGACGGAGGTTTGTGAGCTGGGTACAAGGTGAAGACAGACTGCAAACAGAGATCACAGGACAACTGCTTGCCACCCAAACTCAGGGCAAATGAGATCCTTTGAAGACAAGTGGTAAAAGGAAACACACAAATCATCTTCTGTACCGGACAGAAGGAGTAAGCAGAAAGGAGGGCAGGGATTTAAGGAGTGAGGTGTTGTACAAAGTACAATATACATTTCTGGTTTCATCCAACTGTAAATTGGAACACTGGTTATCACACTCAACAACAGTTAGAGGGCAAATATAATGGTGCACAGCCCAAGGAACAATAAAATACACCAGAATGTTCAAGTTCACATAATATCCTAAAATAAATAGACATAAGTAAATGAAGAAAATTGACTTTTGCCTTGAATAAAATACACAAGGAAAGGGAAAACACAGATCAGCTTAATCCCAACTGGTGTCTATAAAATCAACTTTAAGAAAGAAGCATGTGATTTTTTACATAGTTCTGATCACAAAGGTATAATATGATTTGTACTCACTTGGAAGAAAACCAACTAGCATAATAGTTACCTCTCAGGAAGACCTGAGCCTATTCAAACAAATTTACCAAGGATACCCAACCGGTCCCCATAATAAGATGATTTCATGACACTCAGAGGTAGATGATCAAGTAATATGTGCACATGGAAGAATGCCAGATAACTGAAACTACTCAGGGGGAGAAACAAATCATCTTGAAAGGGGGAGGGGGTAGAGGGATCCTTGAACAAGATGCTTTTGAGTCAAATTGGCATTGCATTAATCCTAATAGCCCGCTACTGTAAGAAGTATATCCAACAAAATCAATGGATAACAGAATTTTGGTAATGGTTTGTTTTGGTAATGACTTGTTCAGACTCCTTTCTGTGCTTTATACTTATCATTAATTTTATGGCAGTTTTATAAGTATTTTGGCAATAATAAGATTGACATTAGTTTTCAATATAAAGAGAAAAACTGAATTATGCATCTCTCATTCTTATCCCTTCTTTGACTTTAGAGATAAAATTTTTCATTTTGTTCTAATCCATTCGTTTGCATTGGATTTGAAAAATAAGCACAAGTTTCTTTAATTTATTTAAAAATGACATGAAAATATAGATGGCTTCAGAACATATTTTCAAGTCACATTTTTGGAGATGGAAGCCTCACTAGTCCAATAAAGATCTGATTTTCTATATTGACAATCTTATTTCCCATTTGCCATGTTCAATTTTAGCTACACATATGAAATTACCAGTACATATAGAGTCACATTCTGTATTCACACTGAAGACCTATTTACAATTTATAGCATGATTTTATCTGAAGATAATCTCATGTTTTTGGTAGCATTTTTATTTATAATGAAGTATTTCTAAGTTATTCATCTATTTTCATCAACTGGGATATAACAGTATATGTCAGTTGGAGTAAAAGACAATTTAACAAGCAAACAAAACACAAGCAACTGATTTATTGTTTGACTACCATTGCCAAGACCAACCACTTCGATAAATATAGTATTAGTCAAGATGAACTGACCACCCCACTTCTTTAAACCCAGAAAAAATTTCTGAGAAAAATATTAAGTACCTAAAATATTTCCATGAAAATTAAAACTAATAACATTTCAGACTTGTGAACTGTATATGAAAGAGATAATCATATTACTTATTCTTCTGAATATGTCAAACTCCCTGTTGACAATTTGATAAGCCCCTGGGTCCCTTTTGACATCCTATGATCACACCCTTGAGATACCCTTAATTAAACAAGCCTCAACTCACACATCCCAACCCCTATGAGGTATCGGTTTGGTCAAACATTAACCCAACTCAGGCACTCATCCTTTAGCAGCTGAGAAGAATCTAGACACTGGAGAGTTCAAGGTTTCCTTCCTCTCCCCCACAAATCCCAGTGAGTTGAAGAAAGCAGGAAAGCAATTGAATTTCACATCAGTAGACATCATTAAACACCTCTACTCCCTTACACCACAGGGCAGATGCAAGTAACCACACACACACACATATATGTATATGTATATATGTATAGATAGATAGATAGATAGATAGATAGATAGATAGATACAGATATATGGTAAGAATACAGATAGATACAGATATACCTTAAGTATATATTTTATATGTACATACACACATTTATACAAACATATACATGTATCACATATAAAAATGTACTACATGTATATGGATATGGATACATATATATATATATACATACAGATATATATGCATAAATATCAAAGTAAGCTCTTAATTTCCATTGCTACAATTGCTTTAATAAATTACAGGCAAGCAACACTACAAATTTGCTTTTTCATAACTACTCAAATATTTTCAAAACATGTTTGTAACATGTCTAGCAGAGAGAAGCTTTATTTCTTGTCTTTACCCTAAATGCCAATGGTTTAATCTAAAACCTTTTCCTATTTGAAAAGAGCTAACTAGTGAACTCTGCAACCAAGAAATTCTACTTAAATCCATTCTGAAGATGCCTTTTAAGCATGAGCAGCCATTTAAACTGAAGTCTTCAAAAGCAAATCCCAATGGGATGCAATAATTTTATTGTCTTTTACTATGAAATAATGAAAAATGTTAATGTTATGTGAAAACTAAGATATTTTTTTCAAGGAATATGATTTTCTTTCTTCGTAATACTTTGGGTATTAGGGCCCCTGGGTGGCTCAGTCTGTTAAGCATCTGACATTGGCTCAGGTCATAATTTCACGGTTTGAAAGTTCGACCCTACATTGGGCTCACTACTGTCAGTGTAGAGGCTGCTTCGGATCCTCTGTGGCCCCCTGTCTCTGCCCCTCCACCACTTGTGTGCATGCACTACTGGCAGGCACAGATGTGCTCTCTCTCTCAAAAACAAATAAGCATTTTAAGGAAACAATATTAGTATCATATTGATAACATATAGAATAAAAAAATAATTCCTAGTGCTTTTAAGACTACTATCTGTCATTGCAAAGCCCTGATATTCCAACATACACATATATTTTTGTTGTCAACATGTCTACATAATTGTATCCATCATTGGGATGAATGGATAAGTTTAAACATCTTTTCCCTAAAATTTTAACACAAAATAAATACCATATACAAATTTTGCTTTCATTTTTATTTTTCCTTTCTCTCTCTTCTTTCCTGATACAGTAGAAATGACTAACCAAGGGGTGCCTGGGTGGCTCAGTCAGTTAAGCGACTGACTTCAGCTTAGGTCACGATCTCATGGTTTGTGGGTTCAAGCCCCGTGTCGGGCTCTGTGCTAACAGCTAGCTCAGAGCTTGGAGCCTGTCTTCAGATTCTGTGTCTCCTCTCTCTGACACTCCCCTGCTCAAGCTGTCTCTATCTCTCCCTCAAAAATAAATAATTTTTTTTTTAAAAAAGAAACGACCTACAAAATCATTACGGTTACCCTGCCTAGAGATACTACATGGATCATTCATCTCTTTTTCATGAATGGTTTCTTTTGCCATCTACTTATTTGTATTATTATTAGTATTATTTTGACCAGCATGAACTTCCCATTGAAGCCTGAGGGAACTGAATCTCACCCTGGCTTCTGTGAACCCAGGTTCAAGTCCATTTCAGGAGGCTCTAATTTACACCTCAGGGCCTTCTTTCTCTTATGTCATACTGTCATCCCATGTAAACCTCAGAAAGGGTTGCTGCAGGGAGATTCCCTCAGCACAGTCATTTTAATGGACCTTTCTCTGGGTCTAACGGTTCTTCTTCCTCTGAATCAGAGAAACAAAGAGGATATAATTCACTTTCAGAATAGTGGAAAATTAAACTGCTATAAAATGCCTGTGCATGTCCTCAGTTAGGCTCGGCATCATTTGGCATGGGCATCTCCTCTTGTTCCTCCAAAGTAAGGAAACTGGCTTTTCTCCATCTTTTGCCTGAGAACACTGGAGTGTGTCCTTAAAAGGGCCTGCAGGAACTTAGCAGAGACTTTCATTCCCAACACAGGGCAGTGGGCAAGGAAAGACAGCTTCATAAGAAAAACCCAGTGAAGGATTTCATGGATCAGGAGAGCTAGCTGGGAAGTGGCCAACACCCAGCCTGAGGTCAGGCATCTGGGTGGACTCCCTTGTGTGTCCCAAGCTGCTCTTCCCACAAGACATGGGCACAGCCCCCCAAGACCTGCAGGACTTGAATGCTGGATGCTGCCCTGCTGGAAACAAGGGCTCTGGCCACCCCTCGACTATTCCACAGAGAAGACACCCACACACTGAGCTCTTATTTTGCACCAGGCCAGCCTTCTAAACATACATTATCTCACTACTTTTTCTCAGTGGGTATTAGAATTCCCTTTTTACAGGGTGTGTTGGTTTGGAGGGTGAGGGGGAATCAATGCCAAGAGTGGTGAAATAACTTCCCCAAAACATACCACAGAGCAGAGACAGACTTGGAACCTATGTCTGTTGATGCCAAATCCAGGGCTCTTTCTGCTATAATAGGTTGCATTAGAACAATAAAAGAGCCCAACAGGAAACATTATTTTTGAAGATATGTTCCACCACTACCACATTTCCTATAATAAATTGTAGTTCATTTGCCCCAATCTGTAGTCATTTGACTTAATTCTTTACAGTCTTGGATACTTTTTGAGCATCTGTTTAAAGATAATTCCTTTGGGAACAAGAAATACTGTATGCTATTATAAGCTTTGATTCAAAGGACACACTTAGTAAAACAGATCTTCCTTGGTAACAGGGATTTTGTCTCTTTTGTTCATCATAATATTCCCAGTATTCAGAAGGGTACCTGGTTATAGTAACTGGACAATTAATGTTTGTTAAAATAATGAACAGTGAACAGAGATCTCAAAGGTTAGCATCAATTTTGATTGACTGTGTTGATCGGGAAGGCACCATAAGCAAATTGTTTCTACTTAGCACTGTTGCCATGGGAGATGCGAGTAAGCCCTATAGGGTGAGAAACTTCTATTGCAGAAAATAGAATAAAACAGAAAGGAGCAGGATGGAAGGATACTTCAGAATTAGTGTCAGGACCCATAGAGCCCTGGGCTATGGAAATTGTCAGAGCCAAGTGGAAGCCAAGGGTATGGGGACAGTAATGAGTCTGAAACTCTTGGCAGAACCTTAGTAAAAAATCAGCTCTTGGCAACATCCGAGACCTTCCTCTTTGGGAGTCCCTCAGCTGAGTGCAGAATTTCAGGGCCTGACTACCCAGTATCCTCTGTACATGGTCTGTGCTCTTAGTTGTATCTGCCTAAGCACACTGGCATACAGAAGACTGTCCTAAGCCAGGAGTGGTCTGCCCCAGATTGCCTCAAACATAATGCATATGAACTTGCATCCAACTTGGGTACATAAGCTCAAGTAACCTTG